AAAATACTAGTGTATAAAAACTGGTCTATAAGGATCTTGCTAAAAGTTTAAGAAGACAAGATGGAAGCAGATCTCGGTTCAGCTTTAGCAAGAAGCTAAAACGGATGTAAACAAATCTGGGCACATATTATTTAAAAACTTTTCCAGAAACTAATAGCAATTTATGTAATAAAAACTAATCAGTTTTCTAAACGTGTGATAAGGACCATCGCTCTCTCCTACAATGGATATACGAGGAGAGCCAATGCTGATCCAATGGATATACGAGCAGCACGTTATTTGCAGTAAAGGAGTGAACTTGGAAATTGTTGGGTTTTGCCAGTTTCGAAGTCATGGTAGCCCACTGGCTTCTTCAGAAAGATTTCTCGTCTCTCATCTACAGTTCTTACTTTATTAATTTTAAATGAGATTTCATACCACTCAACTTTCCATTAAAGAAGACTAGGTACTACATTTATTTTATTTCGTCTTTGTAGACGTGTAATTCCAAGCTCAAAAAAGGGCCAGTTGGTGGGAAAAGATTGTTACTGTTAATGTTATTGAATACTACAATTTACAATTTATAGTGTCATCAACAATCTCTTGTTGAGTTTGTGCGGGGTGGATTCTCTTATTAACAGTACTTAGGCCCTTTTTTAATAGGATATATTAAGCGTTTAAAGAGAGAAATTTCCATGGTTAATAACAGCAATAATAAGGTCAATAGTCAACAGTGTTTTAGAAGTAGTGAATAAAATAAATCACAGTGAAATCACAGAACGGAACGATAATTCGAAAATTGAATGCATGCACTAGTCTTAAAGGGTGTCCAAACGGTTCACCGCCTCATCGTGGCTGAGAAGCGTCGCTGGGTGTCAGGCTGCGTTGTACAGCGAAGGTATTCATCCCACTGGTAGTCTCCCGAACTGAGAAGGGGTCCGGTCTTTTCGTAAGAAAGCCTAGCTGAGAGTTAATACCAGGATTCACTGCCGTGTTGGTAACAAAGAATGGTGGCAAGTTTCTCTATGATCCACAAGAGCTGCAACTGTCCGTGGTAGTGAAGGGACAGACTTTGGCCAGGCTGACCACGAGATTTCAGGGAAATCGCAATGGTATAACCAGCAAAACTCCGAAAAGTGGAGATTATACTGGCGCCCGCACATCCGGTAAGGGCGAACCGTTCAAGTATCAAGTAAGTAAGTTTGTCTTAAGGAAGTGTTGGAAAAGCTGCGAAAGTTAATGATATAAAAAACTGCTTATCACCCTAGATCACGTTTGTGCTGCTGCTTTATTTTTTTTAAAATGGCATGATTCATAATAGCATTCGACAGTGGGCTTTTTTCACTTTTTGCTAGCTTTATACGAACTTTTTCGGATGGATTTTAGATGCTGAAAGCTTGCTGGCCGTATTCGGCATTGGGCTCACACAGTGTTGCATTCCTGTGGTTCGCACCTGATGATGAGAGTGAACTGACTCAAAATGATCTGGGTTATAGGATCGGAGAGGCCGGCTGTTCGACCCTGTCGTTCGAGAACATCAAATACCTTAAGGACTGAGTCTTCACAAACAGGAAGGATAAATACATCTTTCCAATTAAATTATCTAAAACGATACAGATAGCTCGAAAATCATAATTTCAACAAATCCCTTAAAATTGGAAGCTTTCAATGAACTTATCCAAGAAAAGAGAACTCACTGCTTGCATTACGATACGCATCACAAGTCCTCTGGCTGAATCTGTACTCGGTGCGTGCAATAGCGAATACCTGAGCGGCTACACCAGCTCCCGTTGAGAAAACCATCTGCTTGGTGCTCATTGCGTCAAAATTTGACAAATTTTTTATTGAAGAAATACAAATAGAGAAAAATTAGCAACTTCCTCAATAGATAGACGAAAGTTAAGGTTAATGAGCCTTTCAAACAAATGACTGGAAAAAATTGGCAGGTAACTAAATAAAAGGTGATTGCTTAATGTCGTCGTTATTGGTATCGTATGCTTATAAAATTTGGCTCGGCCACTTCTGGGCTGGGACAGAAACTACTTCTCTTAAAATATTGTTCTTTGCGTAACGAATTTTCCTTAAGGCGATAAAATACTGGAGACATTAACATGATTAGGATTCATAAGTTCAAGCTTCAAGTTGCAAATGTTTTACTACACGAATAATATTGTATCTAATGCTTCGTTCTGCTGTACATCCGAACACTGTAGTGACGGTGAGAAGGGAAAGCAGCAGCGGACAGGTGAAGTGTTTCCCTACTAATAAACTCTGTCGTAAGCAATGTCATGGAGATATTTTACATTAAATGTGCTTTAATGTAACAAATTTAACTGCAATTATTACGTTTCCTTCATTACTGAAACTTGCTGGTTCATTGATTTCACAAAGTAACGGAATAGAATTTCGTTCAAATGGATGGTCTATTGCAAGTAGTTCTCGGTCGGTTTTTCTTTTCACGAAACGGTGGCAACTGCCGAGAAGAAGTTCGCGCCAAACGGTCCTGACGCCAGCATTCGAACCACTCTGTTCACCACGCCTTGCCACGTCTCTCTGCACCAATTCGCCATGATGATATTTGTGGTCTGCACGAAATCTTTTCTTTGCAAAATAAAGTTGTACAGAAATTGGAATCCAAACCGTGAGAGTTCCCGAAATTTTCTGGGCCGTGGGGGGAAAAGGCTGGAAATTGGCGGCAGCGTTCAGCAAACAGGCCTGGCCACTGCAGATTGCAGTTACCGTATTGCCGACGATGACGCAGGTGTTCCTGTTCGCCATGGTCGGAACTGCAAACAACTCGTTTATTACTAAATGCATGGTTTGGATCCAATCAAAAGCCGTACAAAAAAGTGGCCTATTTTTGCCTGCATTTTTAACCTTTTCACTACTTGTTTTATTTCACAGTAAAACTACTATTGAAAAGCTTTTTACTATCATTATTGCATCACTCGTCAAGACATATACTGTGCGTAACCTCCGCACTTCCTCCATTCGATCGGTTTCCGTCGCATTCATTGTCTGCGACGGTCGTCTGGTGTTTCCCGTGTTGCAAATCCAAGGACCGACCTTCTCCTAACCTCGTCATTGACCGACAATTTACTGTTTTCTTGATGAATACGCACGAGGTTTTTATCACACTATTCGTAAACTATAAGAAGGAGTGTGGCGCAGTGGTTGGAGGCGACACATACGCGGAATCGATCCTCGCGCTCATAGCCTACCAAGCCTTCCACCCTCCGAGGTCGGCAAATTGGTGTCAGACTTGTGTGGGAAGATAGCAGCACTAGCTCGATACATCGGTAGGCCACCGCGAGTCATTGTGAAGGCCAGATATACATTCAATCACCTCCAACGATACTTAATGAAGTCGAATGAATGGCGCATCGCTAAGGGATTAATCAACGCCGAGAGCTTTATTTTTAGCTTGTAATCGTATACAATAGTTGACCTCCGATCTACTCTCCAAAGCCCGGAAAGGACAAATTGATAAGCAGTCTGTTGAGACAGAGTTTCAAAACTTAACGGTAAAATTTGATGCACAAATTTTATTCGCGAAACAAAGAACTTCTTTTAAACATTCACTGCTCACAAAACAGTGAGTAGCTCGCACCTGGTGAAATCATGCTTTACGAAACCTACTCTCACTTAACCACAACCTTAATAATCAATAGTTACATTGCTTAGCGTAACTGAAGCTGTGATAGAACTTCTATTTTTCCATCTTTTCAACTCCTTGTCACTCCTCACAGCCAACGATCCGAGTCGGTAGTCTACAGCTCTTCGTCGTAACGTTGTGGGTTTTTGTAGTCGCATCGAGTAGAATTTTCTCAAGAAAACCACAAGTCGAGTGGGAAGCTCACTTGGCAGTGTTTCTTTCACACAGTATGTTTGCTGAACGATTGCCGGCCGACAATTATTTTTTTCACGTCGACAATTCGCATGCTGACTACTCTAATACTGATTGCTAGAGAATGAACAGTCGACATGAAAAGAAATCATTGTCAGTCGAGAATTACTGACCAACCATCCGAGTAGAACGAACCAAGAGCTTGGTGAATCGTGGACATGGACTACATCAATAAGCACTCGACTAGACAACAACGGTCACCCTCTCCTACTCAGTTCTTGGAAATAAAATATAAAAGAGTTACGGTCTACACGATTAGACTATATCTCTCTTATATCTTTCTTATATTTTTAGACTTGCTCACATACAAGTCTTAAGAATTTTCTCTTAGAAAGGAAGAACATAAATCGTTTGTACCGATCACTCGAGCCGTGCAGAAAATAAGGTGAATAATATAGCACTTATAGAAGAAGGTTTGAGCATGAGAAATTTTGCCTTTTTCGAAGTCTTGACGAGCTATTAAGCACTTCAAGACGAATTTGCCATTTTCCTTTATTGGGGCTGCTTCATTAACTTTAACGTTTTTTAGACATCAGGACCCTAACGACGGAAGTGACATGGTACTCAGCTTGTTTCCAGGCGGCGTTCTCAAGACCCTTATTCACTACCGCGATAGAAGGTTTATCTCTAACCTCACAGCCGCAGAGAAGTGTGGCTTGCGATAATTTAGAAAATTAATAAACTCGACAATATGATTGTCAGTTAGTAATGAGCGGCAGAGTTCGTAGTTAATCGTCGCCAGCTGCATGTTGAGATAATAGAGGAGCACCTCAGTGATGCTACACGCTATCGCCCATCCTCTGTAAAGGAATCCAAAGGTCAATACCGAAAGCTAAACAATCAATGAGTCAGTGTGGCAAAGACCGCAGATTTAAAATCATCGGTTGTTTCGCACTTTTTAATCAACAGACCAAAATGCCTCGTCTTATACCTACTTATTAAAACTCATAAGTTGCTATCAACTGATGATCTTGCGTCAACCAATCCGTCGTCGCTTAAGGTTGGACCCATTATCAGCTGTATACATGGGCAAGCGGCTAAAATAACCTAGTTTCCAAGCCTAATACTAACCCAGCTTCTTAAACGTATTCCAGCTCATTTCACAGATACCCAAATGTTCTTAGAACGTCTACGTAACGCGTCTCCTAATAACGCGTACGTGATGGGGTCCTTCAATGTTACCGTGCTGTGCACCGTCGTATCGAATGACTCCACATTCCAAGCCATCTTCGAACTTCTTGTTGAACATGAAAAAAGAATAAACATGCATGGATTTTCCATCCAGCAGCCTATGGCTCTTTTAAAGGAGTGCCCAATCTGCTCGATTTTCGAATGGTCTGAGAAATACTATGAGCAAGTAAGCGGTTGGCAATGGGACAGCGATTGGCATCATGCATTGCGCTTGTGCTTATGTCTAACATAGGAGCCCCTGCCCTCGGTCTCCGGCCACTGCTCCTCTGTAGATATATGGGTGAATGTTTTGTCGCCTTCTCTTCGCAGAAGGAGATAGACAAATACTTTGAATTATTGAACGACATCGGTTAGGCAAAATTTCTATTTACTATGGTAGGAGAAGCCGTTGGTCTTCTAAATGTCATGCAGGTTTTCATCTTTCTGTTTGTGCTGTTGAAGCGTTTGACCTGGTAAGTTGCGCTTTAGTGTACCCTTCCACGCTCTGGCGATGGCCTTTCAGCCGAAACATCAGATGCGGTTGTGTTGAGTGTTATTGTATGGAAGTAAACGTATGCTGCCTAACAACCTCGTGATTGCTGAAGAAGAAAACGAAGACTTTATAAAATTAAATTATAAATAAAATATGAAATAAAATAAAAGAATATAAACATAAAATGTTACGAAGACATCTTTATCATATTTGAATCATTCGCGTATTTGGTTTTAAAATGGTGAAATTCTGGATTCATGGCGGCATTCAAGGCAATAGGGCTCTTTTAATTTTTTCTAGGATTGAAAGAGCTTCATCGAATAGGTGCTGAAAGTTGAAAACTAACTTTGCGCCGCTCCTGGATTAACAGAAACAGTGTCGCATCGCAGTGGTTGGTACATGATGTTGACAGTAAGTTGGTCCAAAATGACTTGGATTATAGGATCGGAGAGACCCGCTGCACGACCCTGTTGTTCGAGAACTTCAAGCACCTGAAGCATAGAGTTTTCACAAACTGGCAAAATTTAAAAGGAGCTTTTAAATTGCCCAAAACCGTACAAATCGCTCAAAAATCACCGTTTTAGCGAGTTTTTTAAAAATGAGTTTATTAAACCTATCAAAGAAATGAGAACTCACTGCTTGCATTACAATACGCTTCACAAATCCACTGGCCGCCTCGGCAGTCGGTGCAATGCCCGGGACTTGAGCAGCTGCACCAGGTGCCATTGAGAAGACCATCTGCACCGGCAGGGTGAAGCCGGTAACGTCGAAGGTCCTTGTGCTCAATGCGGCTAAATTTGGAAGGAATATGAATAGAAGAAAATTCCGTAACCTCTTTAAGAGGTAGGTAATGGAAATCAGGATTATTTAACCTTTCCAAGCAAATAAGTGGAAAAATTGTGAAGTAAATAAATTAATGGTGATTGGTTAATCTCACCGTTGGTGGTACCATATATTAGGAAAATTGGCTCAGCCACCGCTGAGGTGGGAACGAAACAATTCCTTTTAAACATTGCTCTTTGCACTACAACTTTTCTTGAAAGCAGGAAATACTAGAGAAACTGACACGACTAAAGTTCATAAATTCGTGCTTTAAGTTGTAAATGTTTTCACTACAAGAAAAAAATGCGCTTAATACCAGGTCCTACTGCACATCCGAACGCTGTAGTGATGGTGAGGAGAGAAAGGAGCAGCGGACGTGCCATAACACTCGCCATGTTTGCCACGCTAGTCATTGCTATGACAATCACGCCTGAAGATATTTTGAGGAAAGTAACTATTTATATGTTTGTAACTGCCACGACCGACTTTCTATTAACCTCAGCATTGATCAAGTGATTTTCTTCGTATTTTTGTTGAGCTAACGCAAGGTGTTACTATTCTTTGTTCACGATTAAGCTGACGTTTCGGCGGATTTCGCCTTCTTCAGAGCCGCTTTCTATGAGGTCTCCACTAGGTATGTCACGTAGAGACCAACCGCACAGAAATCACGTGAAAGTATAATGTATTTATATGCGTATTTATATGTTTAATTTAAGAAAAGGTTTGCTTTCAGTAAGGTTGTGGAGAAATCGGCGATGAGCTTTTACTAGAAATTTGTACTAAGTGGCCACAAAGCAGGTATTAAGGATTCCCTTGATACTTTGAAGGCGATAAGAAAATTTTTTGAATCCGTCCTATTCGTTGCGGTCGGTTTTGGTATTTAGGACTAAGCCTATTACGAAGCAGGTATGGCAAAATAATGGTGTGACAAATGGTATGCCAAGCGTTGAGCGAGAGCCAACGTATGTGAGGATGATTGCTTATTTCGTCAAGTGCGTTGGCTTCTCAACTGTTACAGTTTAAAATGGGTGTCGGCCATGTGATTTTTATTGCCGTGACATTAAATTTCAACTTTCCCACAAATGAGGAAATGTGGAATCGACAAAACGGCATCACGAAAAATGCGCTTTTGGGAAAAACTCCATCTGTAGATTTATCGCATGACAAAAAGGAAACACAGTTTTCTACAAGCAGCGTACCTGCAGGCAGTTAGCATGAACGCAAAAATCGCATTCATTCGGCTCCTGTGGCTTAAATTTTAAATTCACTGTGGTAATGATTTGCTTGTCTTTGCGGTAAGCCGGCCCCTAAGAAGACCCCTCTTGTCCCTAAAAAGTTCACTTGCAGAATCTCACTAGATTATTAAAGTGCTGCTTCATGAAAAAACAACTGCATCAGAGCATAAAGTGTTGTCAGCTCGTGCTAGTATCCTGCACTTTGATGAAACAGACCATGCAGTGAAAAGAAGAAGGAAACTGTCAGAGCGCCACTGAGTTAGTGCTTCCTTTGCCACTTTTTTAAGCGTTCGTGATTCCCAATAAAGACTAATGTTTATGGAGCGCCGTTTGAGTCGCTCCACTTTCTGTTTTTCGGCGAAGAAATCAAATTTTGTCATTGAGCAGTCTTAACTAGTGGAACATTTTTTCTCACATTTGTGAGCATTTGACCTGAGAATAATTGCATCCCCTCAGTTTTTTTTTGAATAGGAAACGTTTAGGCAGCGATCAATTACGAAACCTTAGGCATTTTCGTAGGTTTATGTGACTCCCTTTCTCTTCATTTAGTGATTGGTGATTGTGTGGAGAACACATGTTGGAGCTGCAGACTGACACGTATTGAAAAGAAGTGTTGCGAAAACAGCAATTCAATCCCCACTTTTCTTCTATTTTGGTTTAAATTCCGTCTAAACCAAGGGGTAATCATATATCCCTCAGTGATTGATCACGAGCTCCTTCAAAAGCTGTCTACCTAACGATTACCTGACCTGAATCTTATTAAAAACTTCTCTCGACCACGTACAGAAAAACCGAGGAATTCTCTATATGAAAATCCTGCTACCAAACGAGCAGCGTTAAAGGCGATAAATGTGAAGCTCTCATTCTATTCCAATGTTTAGTGAGAGCTCTGCACCAAATAGCTTTGTTACAGAGTTCTCCGTCTTCGCACATGAAAATCGAAAATATAGCGCCATGGAATCATCGGCCGTTTTATGATGTTTTCATGAAAGATAAAGAAAACTGAATGAGCACCTTCGTATTGTTTTGATGAATTTCCCTGAGCGCCAGCATCGCCATAAAATTCTCCTTCCACTTTTTATAGGATACCGTATCAAAAAAGCTTTGTTCGTGAAAAATTCCATGTTGCCAAGTTTTTGCATGTAGAGCTCTGGAAAGTGGAGTGCTGCAATGCACACCTGGACGTCGGTTCAGTTAAGTCTCCTGGGCTCAATCATCTTTCAATTCCTCTACAGACGGCACATTGCTTCCAGACTTGCTCGAGATACATCAACACCAACATAGTTCGTTCAAGGGCCACTGCCAGTTATTTGTAGGTACGATGTGTCTGACAAGCATACAGTCACTTCGTGGAATTCTTGATGCCGCATCCCATAGGGATTAAGCAATGCCGGACTCTTTTTCTTTTCATAACCCAATTTCCACCTTATCAGTACAAATATTTTATGTCGTTACCGGCTGAACCCGTGAAATTCCGAAAAGCTTCCGCTAGACTCTTTAGTGTTTCGTCTACTGTAAGATCATGATGATCGTCTTCAGACATCTCCGACGTCGAAATCGAGTTCAAAATCCTTCCGAAAAGTATTTGTGGCTGACCTACAATCGACCTACTGCCAAGGTTTGACGTCTATTCTGGTAAAGTAGGTCGTCTTTTTACAAAAAAAAATATCGGATGCTCTATAGGCGTTCTATGAAGAATATTGAGTGGATCGTCGAAAGCGAGATCATGAATGACTTGCTGTGAACTCCATGAATTTCTACTTTAGGAAGGGTGGAAAAATTTTTCTGTCGTTGGCTTAGCGGAAAAATTTCCATTGAGAGAAAGACGTCGTCTTCTACCCATCTACGACGTCAAAATTTCTTGTTGGTTTTTCTGACGAGAAGAGATGAAGGAACTGAATAACAGTGCGAATAGTGGCAATGGAGGGTTGTCAGCGAAGAATCGGTTCGTGATGTGAAAATGAGATATTATTGAGAGTTGTCGACACTGTTGAAGATATGTGGACTAACAGGACCTCGTTTCACGATGAACCAAATCAGTGGTTTGCATCAGAACAACCCTTAAGTCAATCTACTGACCGTCGATGATTAGGGTTTGATTCATTTTTGCTCCACTAACCATAAGACACTATGAGGTATGAATACTCATCATTGGACGCGTACGACTTCAGTTGTTTTATGCCACTACTTTCGAAATTTTTTACGCAAGTGCCACCACTCTTCTGTGATGGTGTCCCAAGATTTCATATAGGCATATGTTCTATGCAATTTATAGCCCTTCAACCTTATGGAACCACTAAAAATGAGGCTTTTAAAACACTTAAGCTGCTTTGAAAAAATGTTTGTTTGATTGCGATTAGTACAGAAGTGCAGCATCCTTCCAAATTGGTACTTTATCTAAGAGGATAGAAACTCTGTCTTTACACATCAGGAGGTCTCACATATCCGGATTCGTTGTTGTTACCACCAGACATTTTCATTACATCCACCTTCAGCATCCTGCATAAAAGTCCATCACCGAGTGAGCCTCATTCGAAGAGATGACCAGCTGAGGAAGATCTGAACCGAAACGAAGGCAAAGCGGTCACACAGAGAAGATTAACAAGCATGGACCATCGAGTCGGATCATCGGCCCTGGTGAAGACGAAGACATCGAAATGTTTGCCCAAAAAAACATATTTATCGACCTCGTGTAAGCTCATCAAAGAAAGAGTACATATTGGTCAGTCACACCGGGAGCAAAGAAAAGTCGGTTTCGAAATATTACAACGCAATGTGCTACCTGTTGTTAATACTTTATTTCATGTCTGAGGGGTTTTGGCATTTCGAGAGGCATTGAAAATATGTGTTTGATGAAAAAATCATACCTATTTCTAGCTTGTACATCCCCACTAACAATGATTTTCTCGAATTTTCAGAACTTTTCTCTGTAGCTAAGAGTGAAAGGCTTTCGGCAATTCACAAAGTTTCTGCGAAGTAGGCGATTATTTGTTTGTGACGCTTTCTGAAACCTTCAACGAGTGATTTCTGAGAAGGAGAATTGGAAGTGTTTGTAACAATTTTTCGTCAGTTTGCCCGCTGTCTCATGGTAGGGCTTAAAATATGTGACGCCTTCATTAGATTGGAATGCTATGGCAATTCATGGACAATGAGCTTCAGTCGGGACTTTCTTTCCCCGCCGAACCATTCGAAGGCACAGTTACCGTTGTGAATTCAACAGTGCCTTTATTGCATTTTAGTAAAGGTGAGAAAGCAGTTCCGCATTGTTTTAGTGAATTTCTGAGCAACGAGCAGTTGCGCTACAAGATTGTTCTCCCACTTTCCGTACACTACCGTAATCAGAGAGCGAAGGGCATTGAAGAAACAGATTCCGCTGCTGTCTACGTGTTAGTTCAACGCCGACATGGTTGTTTATTTTAAAAATCATAATAGGACAGTGTTCATTGCATTCTACACTAAAGTAATGAGTAGTTTTTCAGGTGTTTTTGTTTGCTAATAGTGGGAAAAATGCGCCATAGAAATATTACCAAATAATGTTACCCATGAAGAAATGGAAACTTAGTGGCGCGAAACGATTAGCCCTCTGCGAGATTTTCACAAACGGTGAAGGAAGGTAAGTAGGCACCACCGTATTGCATTAAGAAATTTGTAAGCGATAAGCAGTTTTGTACGAGTGTTTCTCTTCAACAGTCGTATGATTTATAACGCTAACCCTTCGAGCAGTGGGTTTTTGAAGAGCAAGCTCTGCATTTCTTGGACTCCGTCCATTACCAGATCGATTTAATCGCTTTGCGAATTTCCTGATACCATTTCAAATTCCAAATGTTTTTTATTGGAGCAGATGAAGTGGGGATAGTTCAGCGGACTACGTTGCACACCATCATTTCAGCTTTGATGGATACGAGAAGGACGCCATCTCCAAAGAAAAGGACATACTGGATGGGGTGAAACCGTTTCATTAACGATATCGAGTGGATCATCGAGGGCACAATCTTAAATGAATCGCTACGGTAGACTATCAAAGGCTTGATGATTTCTTAAACTGTGGCTTGGATCCGAAAAAGCGCCAACATTTCTTTGATACTTCTGGTGAGGTTGGAGGAAGGGATAAGGAAAGAATGAATAGTGTTGAAGTGGCGGCAGTGAAGCAGCGAACCGAATAGAGTTGCTTATATATT